CTTTCTTCTATTTTGTTCATGTATACGTTGGCCAAAAGTGGTGAGAGTGGAGATCCCATGGGAAGTCCAACACAAGGTCTCCCTGACGCACCGATCAAATTGCGAAAACAAGGTCGAACCAACTCTTAAGGTCCCTAAGCGCATTTTTTTTCTAAACTTAGACAAAATGTTTGACATCTTTGTTATCTTCTCAATATCGATATAAATGAGATGGATTGCTAGCCTAATATTGTTTCTTGAAATGATCCGCTAGTATACAACAGATTGGTTAAGATATAATCACCCTCCCCAGAATCCAATACACTGGTTGGTAAATATTCTATCTTGCTTGTTGAGGGTAGTAGAGGTGAGTTGACCTGCAGTCCAATCCAGATAAGACTAGAGACGGAACGTTCGTCGAAAGACTTTGCTTGTAACGTATACACTTGATCAGCGCGGTGCTCATTAAGCAGACGTCCAACTGGCGTCACCATCTTACAGACGCATATGCGAGGGAGGAAAAGCACTATGGTAGTCTCGTTATGAAAGGCGGGGCCCCATATGAGTCTTTTGCTTCTCATTGGTTATGCATTACACAACACAGTACAAAGTGATTAGGATATAATCAGCCTCCCTGGAATCCAGTTCACCCTGATCCAAAAATAGTATGTACTGTGGGTTTAAGTGTAGTAGAGTTGGGTTGACCTGCAGCACAATCCAAATAAGATTAGAGAGGAAGTTGTCGGTATTTACAGAATAAATTAAAGGGTACGAGAGGTTTGCTGGCAATAAAACTTTCGATGCCTTGTTGAGGAATAGATTGAATCGTAGGCGACGCCGGAAGTCTGGGTGCTTTCGGTAAAATCTAAATGGTCGACACGATGAATAATTCTCGATTAGAAGTATTCTTAATTAGTGTTGGCAGATAGCTGAGAATATCATTCGATGAAAATAACGGTTGTAATTAAAGGATTAGAGATAAGCCTATCCCGATTGTATAAAGGGCTCGAAATCAGATAACTCTGCGAGGACACTTATCAACGTTGCTATAACCCTATGACGTCTCAATTATTTTATTGACAGAATTCTTTATTTGCTTTTCGTTACGATTTTGGAGATAAAACCTTACTTTTTAGCACATCTTCTAGTCTTAGATATATAGATCTGATTTTTTAATGCTTAAAAATTATCTCTTAATAACTAGATAAACAGGCAAATCGTTTCTCGGGATCAGCTTCTGGCCGCATAGGACCCACAACTCTCTCAAACCCTACTATTCATCATTTGTCTGGACCCTCTCTTCTTGGAGTGCCTTGTCTCAATTTTCCTGCTGCATCTTCCGCTTCTGGTTCCAGCAGATTAGGGCTTGGCTCCTCTTTTGGATCTCCTCTGCTTGGCGATAACAATGTTTCCGGATTTCTTCGCCTCGGACACTCCACACATATCGGGGCAGTTCGTTCTGGGGTCGGTTCAAACAACTCCGGAATAAGTGACAGCAATACGCTACCTGAATTACTCTTCGCCTCCGATGAAGCTCGTGTCAGCTATTCGAATCGTCATCGTCGTGGACAGCATCATCATAGGCCTTATCAACAGCAACAACAGCATATAATAGTTCTCGGGAATATTGATTCTCGAGAACACGTTAATCAGCATCACCACAACGGTCGCCTGGGCCAGATTAAACAGCCTACTGGCATTCCACCTAACATTGGCTCAGCTCTTAACCTATCCGAACAACTAAGAAAGAGACATCAGATAGCGGACGTACATTCGGCGGCCTCATCAATTCTGGCTGGGACATCCGGCCAGCAACTTACTTGTTTAGGTAATTTGATTGTACTCTAGTTCTTATTATGCATTATTTCGGCGGATCACTTAAGCTAGCAGCAGCATTTGAAATTTGGGGTTAGTATTGCTGTGATGTTATCTTATTCCTAGATGTATGGCACATGACCTGAGTTGTGAATAGATGGTCAAGCAGAAGACAAAATAGAATATGTAAGAATGTAGTGCTTTATAGCATCAGCAAGATGTACATAGCTATGCAATATAAATATAGATGCAGTTTTATGCATTTAATTGAGGACATACTGTACATGATGGCTGTAATTTGGTTGTCGATGTAGTTTACTGCATAGTGAGGTCACGCAGAAGTACCATCATGAACAGATGCTGCGTAGAAGTGCAATACAGAGATGTTGCGTTGCTTGGAATCAGATTAAGCTTGCTGTTGCTGCGAAGCAAGCAAAATCTTATCTATGTGCTCGGAGTTAACGATACGGTCGCTGAAGGACTTTGGGTTTTGACCATGGTTAAGTGGGCTCATACTTACACAAAGATCCAGTCGACTTTATCAAGCTAAAATTGCGGATAAGACGAACGAAAAAGCGATTGAGAGAGAACTGGGACACGTCAAAGACTGAGCCTCAGGGGACGTCCTCATCCTAATGAAAATAATGTCATAGTAGTCGTTAGGCTGAGGTACTAGTGAGTTAGTGGTTTTGGGTCAGTTAATGCTGACTAAAAGTACATATTAGTGGAAACAATAGAATTTATAATGAACCAGATTAGAAATCGTATTAACTGATGAAGGGAGTGCATGTTTCAATGTCGTGGCTGTCAAGTTATTTTAAACTAGGCTGAAATTAGAGGTAGGAGGACTCATGGATCTAGAGTAAACACAGAAAGGTTGGCTTCCTTAAAATAGTGCATGATTAGTGTCAAGAAAAAATGGGTTTCGGAGAATTCCTTAAGGATATAATGTTGCATAACTTTCCATTTCGAAAGAAAAATTGGTTTTGAGGTCTCAGCGAAGACTAAAGAAGAATTGTTGGTTGGAACCTGTTTTCGCAACTTAGTTGGAGCGTTAGGGAGACCTTGTGGAACGTACCTAATCTCGTGTCCTCTGCTATATTATTCGTGATGTCCAGTATTGGACCGTTAGCTGAGTTAATTCCCAAACGTTTCGCTGACATCGTCAGTGAGAAAAGCCATCTTAAGGACAATGTTACAACTTATCAAAGTGATAAGCGCTTGACTACTTTTCTGTTCAACCATTGTGACATCACTCCTCGACTCTATTTTTTGTTCTACTTTCTAGAGAAGTCAATAAAGGCTACTATAGTGAGACGTAGAATTGGCCAAAAATTTACCCAGGGGGTTCACATGTGAGATGTAACATTTAAAATTAAAGATTAAGGTATAGGTGGTCTAGATAAATGACACCAGCTTTTGTGTGTATTTTTCTTATCTTTATCCGCAGGGAAGATGACTTATGACAGGCTTGACCACGGGGGATGCCAACCAACACGCACACACAGGGACATCATCCTAGTATCCTAGGCTTAAATAGGAATGTTAACTTGAGAGACGAGAGGACTGTGTATTTCGCGATTCAAGTGAAAAATGGAAGCGGTGCATTTTCACACCAGCAGTTGTGAACTAAGGCGGATGCAGGGCCCCAAAGAATGAGATACAATGTGAGTGGGGATGAGGAAGAGGATAATTTAATCATGGGTTTGAAGCCTAGTGAGAGGTCTAATAACATCTCTTTATGTATTTTTCTGATATTCATTTAGCCTCACCTAAAATCGAAGAACCGTCTCGTAGTTGTGACTGCTACATTGTGCGCCCATCCTTTGACCCGAGCAATCCGTATTAAGCTTTCATTTATCACTTCTTAGGCATTATCAAAGCCAGAAGCCAGCATTTACAAAGAAGCCCATCAAAACCATATTCCAAGAGAGATGCTATGCTGAATAGTTTATTTTGCTATCTTAATGTGGCATGCCATGATTTAGATAATTGCAGATGAGTGATTTAGTCCCTGAAAAGGATATGCTGTTTCACTGCACAAATAAATTGACATTTGATCCTACACTGTTGATGCCTGCACGTGAAGTGTTTATACAATACTCATTAGTCAGGTGATGTGCTAGAGCCTAAATCAAACTCGAGAAAATTCTTACTCGACTCGTCCTTATCGCTTTACCTCTCCTAGGTTCTATCCAATAATCAGACCTAGTGCACTCGTTCTTCCTATCATTCATGTTATACATCTTAATGTTTATCGGCCTCCTAATACTCTGCCTAGCTACGAAAAATCCATTCCTTAGGTTTTAGGCCACTAAATCTGGTTTGCTGTATTGAAAATCTGCTTAGACACCTATATTTCTGGACTCATACATCTTTAATATGAGATGTATTCACCCAATTTCGTTTAAATTGATGAAGAACTAGTAGTAGAATTTTCCCACAATATGAGTTGAGCTGACGTTTCCATTGAATTGTACATAGCGTGGTTTCCCAAAAGTTGTTCTCATCCTGGGTGGACTGCAGTTTCGACCTCGCATCCGTCTTATCAACACCCTCAGTGGGCGTCGAACCACGACAGTGCAGGATGGAAACTTGACAGGCTAACCACTCGGCTACACTGCCACAAGTACCATTGAGTCACAGGGCATAAGTGAATTTCATGGAAGGTCAGGCTTCTTTGCTATATCATATTCTTTGGTGGGAGTGCCGATGAAGCAAACGTATATTTGCTATAGCAATTGACTACTTACAATGAAAACGTCAGCTCAACTCATATCATTGTGGGAAAATTCTACTACCAGTCCTTCATCACCTCAGACGAAATAGGGTGAATACATCTCATTACACTGATTTACTGATAGTCTCGAAAACCTACTCTCATACGAAGATAAAAATACAGCTGGTTTTAGTTTTAAATCATTTCTCTTTGTCTTTCTTCAGACAAATATTTGAATATTTGATCAGATAGAGCCATCATTTCTACCTAACCTACTGTCAGCCCATTAGCTCCCATTGCCGCCGTGTCTATCCTGTTTCTATCTCTAATACCAAGTCTATGATTTCCCATGCTTTAGTCTCTTGCG